TGTCCGGTTCCGACACGCTTTCCAAGCTCATAATTCAGCTCCCTCTTCTATAGTAGATCAGTATATCATGATCTTCAACGCTCTGTGTTTTTTCTCGGCAGTGTATAATGGCGTCGCGAGGTAACCATGGCTAGGATCAGGTCTAAGAAACATATCGGGCAATTACAGTAGTGAGAAAGAACAATGCCAAGGGTTGCTTTGACCATGATGGCAACCTAGCGGGAGCCTGATTCTATCCACCAGCAGAAGTATTCTACAGAGTTTAGAGCAGTCAATACTAAACACTGAAAAGAAAGCCGCTGCAGACTCCTCTGATCCTCTATGATCCTGTGAGCACGATTATGCTGGGATGATTATGTTGGAATAATCAGGCATGCATGTGCCACTCACTATTATAGCCCCCGCTTCGTCGCCCTTCGCATTTGCTATGTTAACGAAGCCTCCACAAGCCCGGTCACCTTTCAATGCTATTTGGCTGTCAACATAGCTTGCCGCATGTCTGAGGCCTTATGTAATAGAGGCTTTCCCTGCCTCCCTGTCCGGGGCCACTGTGGAGTGAGCATTGCCCTCTGCTACTGTAGCCAGTGTGTCGGACGCAGTCTGAGCCTTAGAACCCCAGGCCGTTAGAGAAGGCGCGGATGCGACATGCCCAATGGGCCATGAACCAGAGACAGTCGAGTTCAGAAGCTTTGTAGTCGACACTATCCTTCCGTGTGCGCTGGACACTGTAGATATAGCCCCTTGCTTGATTGCCTGAGGACCTGTCCCTCCTATGGTGGCTCTGAGCAGAGTGTTACTAGCCGGTGGACAGAACGATCCCTGTTCAAGTGTTAGCACATATGAGTCCATTACATATCCCCCCATCTGCCTACCAGGCCCACAGAGCAACTAGCTGAAATGACACTGTTGGCCAGGTCAGCATCTAGTGGGGATGAAACAATCTCATGCTCCTGATATACATAGCCGATTAGCTCTCGACTGATATGGGACAATGTTTGGGTTTCCAACAGTTGCTAGCGCAGGTGGCTGCGCCAGGGAATATGACGAACGGTAGGCGCTCGCGTTCAATACTTCTGGAGTTGATATTCCCATACCTGGACATAGGATGTCCGTCAACGTTAGAGTGGTAGTAGTAGTAGACGCTGACAACGCTCGTTCAGTTGCAGTTCCTGCGCAGCAGATTACCTAGCAGTGACTATCAATTTCTCTTGCAAAACATACTTGGGTCTTGGAGATATCCGTTCTTCACATGTGCTTTGACATCACGATTCTGATATTATTGGTCAGCGTCAACAGTAAAGCTCCCGCTAGTAGGGAAAAGGGCACTGTAACTGCACCGAGACATTGGGGTGTAAGGGCTGGAAGGCAATAGCGAGGGAAGCATAGGAGAGAAGCAGAATCATCTTGAGAGGAGAAGACCGGAGATGGAGTATACGAGAGTACTGCAAATAGTATCTTGGTCTCCGCATTTATACGTCGAGGTTGAGGAGTTTCTAATAAAACTGGAATGGCTCTGAACCGATACTTTCCCTATTTATGGTATCGTATGGAACTAGAGATTGACCGACATCACGTATGCACAGAGTAAGCGGACCTCTCCGATCGGCATGGAATCAAGCCTTGAATTTTCCCGAGACAAGTTGTGGGCAAAATACAGGTTTATTATAGACAAATGCTCACTTAATAAAGAGAATGTCCTCCGCAACGAGAGGCCGATGTATATAGGCAGACCGCGGAATTGTTGCGGGGCAACATCGAAGAACTCTGGGCGGTTTACTGAGGCAAAATCCCCATCTGAGATTCAAAGGTCTAGATGGTTATGAACCTGTCCATATAGTCTATGTCGTATAAGAGCAATTCACCCAGGTCAAACTCTCAGCCCCTGCCCCTAAAATCCCACCAGGTACGATCTGGTGAGATTGACTCTCTCTTGTTTGATTATCCCGCGTTCTCCGCGTATTTGTAGCATTTACCTCCATGAACCGACCTCGCTGGTAACTACTTGGAGTGGGCTGTAATGGACATGGACCATCCCAATTGTGAAGCAAAGAATCTTGTCGTTGTCAAAACCCTGGGGTCTGTCCTAATCAATCGGGTGGGTCTGGGTATCGGCCGACCGGGCATTTTGTTCCTGCGGGGTTTGGGTCCGTTGTGAGTTGCCCAGTGTTCTGCCTGGTCAAACCGCCATTACAATTGACCGGCGCCCATTAGGTTGGGACTATCTCTTAGAAACATCAGATATTATGGTTGAGAATACCCTGTTGGGGCAACTGATTCATGATGTAGGATAAGGGGTTAGGACGAAGCACGCAACGACAACAGGTTTGTGTGCGCAATCAATATTGCCCAGCTTGAGCAGGGCCATTGATCCTATGTGCAAGAGAGAGAATGCTCCGAACGGTAATTGCAGCATGGGTGTTTGATGTTTCGTTGAAGGCAGTAGAAGAAAAGGGTGAGAATAATGACCAGCGTCTGAAAGGACATAAGGCTCCCACAGTATGAACAGTGCTTGCTTCAATGGGCTGGAGGTCATTACGAAAGGTGAATCCCCATGTGTGTTTCTGAGGGATATGGTAGTCCACCGTCGACAACTGGGTCATGTATTAACCACCAGTGTTGTGTCTCTGTTCCCATGCGACAACTAGCATGGGAAAGAGCGATACTCGGTCCTGTAGGCTGACGATGGGGTTCATTTTATTCACTTTGAGCTGGTCCAGGCTGACCGCATTTGCCCAGCTGGTGAGGATAAGGCTCAGTTATGATTGAGATTAACGATGTGTCAGAATCCCTAACTTAACGGTCCACTGTGCCACTCGGTCTGCTGGCTTTTGACTCAGTCCTATCCAGTGATCAAATCAGATCAGTCACTAAGCGCTTAGTCTGTGTAACAGAGAGCACAGCCATGTGCAACGAGCTTCCATGAGGCAGGGTAGAGCGTCGTCCCGTGAACCCCCGGAGGAGTACGTGCCTTTATCCTTCAATCTGTGATATTGCTACGCGGATGGCACTTGTACCTCATTCCGTGCATGGTCCTGATTCCCCAGAAGCAGCAGATACTTATAGTCGCTGTACGAGGATCCCCGCCAAACATACTCCACCGAGCAGGAACTGAAATACCTATCAACACCCAAGCCCCAGCAACAAAACAACGAGCCTGGAATACAGGTGTGAATAGGTCACGCATAGCAGGCATGGTTCACTATACTAGAAGGCGGCGAATGTTTAGGTATTCACATCGCTTACAGACAACAGGCATTGGATGAGTACCTAGATAGCTGATGAGGGCCGAGGAAGAACAGGAGCGACTGGGAAAAGAACTAGAACGCAAGCGGCTCGAGAAAATTTGATCTATCTGATAAGGAGCGTGCAGTTTTGGAAATGGAATATAGAGTTTATGAAAGGCTCGTGTCGTCGCCGAGGTGCCTCTAAGATGGGCCACCGAAGAGGCCGCATACCAAGAAGCTAGGCATCATATGGGGTGTCATTCGCAGAACCTAAAAATCAACTCATCACCAGTCACTGATTATAAAGATCCGTCCGGTCTCATAGAGAAGTACCCCTAAATTGCATCGCCGGCCATCCAGGACAACTCCAGTAGCTCCCGTACTCATAATTCTTTTTCCAAAATTGATCGCCGGCTGGGCAGGCACCAATTATCATCAGAATACGTCCAGATCTCGGGTGTAGATTATCTTTACGCGGAAGCCCAGGGATTCGAAAACCGCTTGGCCTCGGGCCAGGGACTGGGGGAGTCGGTCGTTGAGACGGGCCGAGGGGAAGTTGAAGGCGATGGGGTCGGCTTTCTGGAGGGCTTTGGCGAGGATGAGATGATCTGACAGGGTTGACTCGAAGTGGATGATAAGAGACGGTGAAATTATGCCAAAAAATGATGGTGGTGGTGATAGATGGTGTGGTGTCGGGTTGGGTATTATATATGATTAATGTCTGTATATGATCTCAAGAGAGGATCACTCGGGCCCTTATATACAACCTAGTTCAGACAAAAGTTGAGAAAAAAAAAAAAAAAAAAAAAAAAAAAAAAAAAAAAAAAAA